CTAGAACTATTCCTGTCAAACACATTGTACTTGAATATCCTTTAACCTGTGGATCTAACTTAAAGTTTTTGGCAGTGTAGAGGATAAACAAGTTAAATGACCATAAGGAAGTAAGCAGAATGGAACATCGAAAAGGACAAGTGGCTCATGCTGTACAGTAAGTCAGTATTTTAGGGGGAAATAAAGCAGGCAATGGATACTTCTAGATGGAGAGATGTAGCAGACATAACCCAGTGTGTTATGTCGTCTGTAATTGGATCCTAATTTGAACAAATCAGATGTAAAAAGACATTGGTGCAGTAATTAGGGAAATTTGAAAATGGACTAGGTATATTAGCTCCTGAATAATTACTGTTAATTTTGGTAGATCTATTAATGTTAATATGGTTTAATAGATAAGTGTCCTGATATTTTTGAAGATGAGTGCTAACATATTTCAGAGTGGAATGTCTTGCTGTCTGTGACTGACTTTAAAATACTTTAGGAAGTGGAGACTCCTGGATGGCTCAGTTGGTTGGTCAGGTCATGATCTCAGGGTCCTGGGATTGAGCCCTGGGTTGTTGGGTTCCCTGCTTCTCCCTCTTCCCCCCGTCCCTCCCCACTGCTTGTACTCATACTCTGTCTCTCTCTCAAATAAATAAAATCTTTTAAAAAAATAGAAATTTCAAAAAAATGAGCAAAATCAAGAAAGAAATACAGCAGTAACATGAACAATTTGTAAATAGTATGGGTATATTATGGGTGTCCATTATATGGATTTCTCTACCTTTCTCTTTGAAATTTTCCCTAAAAGACTAGAACAATGGAGGAACAATGAGAACTTGAATGTTCTAGAAGAGATTATTAAGGGAAGTATAAGATTACTGAAAAGACACTAGATAGGATTTAAATCAAAGGTGGAGGAATTGGAACAAAGGACAGAAAAGTCAGTTTCTCTATTCCGAATGGAGGGAAAGGAGAATGTGATGAGTCTGTTACGTTTGTATAGTTTTATATATCTATCTGGTGGTAGAAAATTGAAAGAGTTCATGTCTGATGGCTTCTGCTTTCTCTGTGATATAGAAGGCAAGGTCATTTGTAAGAGGGTGTGAAAGGTCAGAAGCTTAAAGAGTTCAAAGGAACTGAGGTAGTTGATAGAGTGAAAGTAATGAGTAAAAAGCTATGTAGGTTGCCAGACGGTTTTGAGGGCCCAGCAGAGATGAGTGAAATGAATTTGTAGTGTAACTACCATGCCCTGTTTGGCTTTTTAAATCAATGTTTGGTGGCTTGAGTACTGGCCAAAAGAAAGTAAGTGGTTGAATTCATACAAGGTTGTGGTTTTTGTCTGTTGAGTGTGACAGCGTAAAAGGGTCAGGGAAACTAGGGTACTGGCAACTCATGTGGGTGAATTGCTGGACCTGGAGTCTAATCTGTTGAAGAAGGGGACTCGCAGGGAGAGGATGAAGGAGTTCTGGAGGAGTGCTGCACAGAGCAGTGATTGTAGTTAACCACATGGTATTGTATGCCTGAAAGTTACTAAAAGACTAGATCTTAGATGTTCTCTCTACAAAGAAGAAATGGTAATTGTGTGATGGGACAGTTAACTCTTTGTTAAGCGTATTGCGATATATAAATGTCAAATCACTTTCTGTAACTAAAACTTACACCATGACTTACACAGTGTTAGGGGTCAGTTAGATCTCGATTAAAAGATGAGAGATACCATAAACTCCTATTGAACTCCTCTCTCTCATGAACCTTCTCCTTCAAGGGCTTCAAAGTGTCTGTGATTTCCACTACTTACAAGATAGTAAATTAGCCTGTTAACTGTTTCATAGATGCTAGCAGATGTGAGACTCCTTGGTCAGAGACCAAGGACTTTATTCCAGCACAGCAAGTAGCCTATCCTGGTGTTGGTTTTTGCTGATTCCCCCATGTTCCTCAGTTCCTATGGGGTTAACACCAGTAGTGGGCCTAGATAGATGCCACATGTACATCAGATTTGTGTCGCAGCCCAGAAACACTGAGCTTGGGGAATGTACCACTTTTATTGTAAGTGGAAGCAAACCTCTTCTGTCTTGGCGGGAGACATTGTCTCATCCCTCAAGGTTGCTTGTCCAAATACATCCCTGAGAACCAGCTCCCGTGAGAGCGATTAAGGCCTTATAGTTTGGCAGGCCCAGGAAGAATGTGTAGGGATATTCAGGGCCCATGGCCTCTCCCAGAAGTAACCCAGGAGTGGAGAAGTAACCACTCCATAGAGTGGTGGTGATGAGGGAATTGCTTTCTTTTTGTCATTTCTGTTCATGGTACTCCATCCTTTTGGGCACCCAGGTTGGAAAATCTCCTCCATTTGGTGCAGATCCTGGTATATCCTGAATAGCTCTTGCTGGCTGTGTTACCCGAAACTGGATTTGCCTCTTGGTGAGTGTTGAGCCAAAAGGCAGAAGCCAAAGTAAAGGAAAAGGAAAAGGAAGGGTTTACTTGCAGTAAGTAAAAGAGAACAGTGGGTTAATTTTTTCCCCCTCCCCAAAGCAGTGTCTCGCAGAAGGACAAAATTGGGGAGCTTTTAAGCTAAGGGTGCATACGTATTCGTGAAGGAGCCTGGGCGGCAGGGAATACAGCATGGAGATGAGGTAAAAGTTGTCCTAAGGTGATGGAGTCCAGGTCAAAGTCACGAGGAGCTGTAAAAGCAGAGGCCAGTGTCCTCACCTCTCTGGCTCTGGATGGATGGACTGGTATCTTGAGTGCTCAGAGGGTTTAGATCCTGCACTGATAACTCAAGAGTGTGGGTCAGGTGGGTCTCCTGGCCTGATGTGGCTGGCTGTTCTCACATTCTTTCCCAAGATGTCTGGGGCCCTGGAATGACTTTTTTAAGAGAGCTGGGTCTGTTGATCTTTTTTCAGGAACCCTTTACTGTTTCTGTTTACAGCTCTGCTGTAGAGAGTCAGTTGTATGTGGGTGGCTATTGGGGTGGAAAGGCAGTAGTCGATGGGTAGGTAAGTGGCAGTTTTGAACACCCTAAAACAGATGATACCTGTGATGGACCTCCTTTTTAGTACATCAGCAACTCAGTAAGGGCTTTACACCAGTTTTGCATGCCCAGAATTTTTTGGCACTCAGCAAATAAAGAAGCATCAGAACCAGAGTTTTTAGGATTTGAGGGCCAGTGATATCTTTGGAATGGTCCAGCAAGGGTAATTAAGGTTGTGAATTTAAAGAACCTGAATGCTACTTATCTCATTAGGCAGAATGGTCTTCCAGATTGGCTGTAATCTAACCAGCCTAGTACTCTCTGAGGAACATACTAAATTGTTAAACAGAACTTCATCAAGAAATGGTTAAGCCTTATAATGATCAAAATTTGCTGGACATTTAGATAAACAGAGAGCTGTATTATAGTAGTAAATTGGACATGGATTATTAGAATGATGTCCGTTCTTCTTTGTAGTTCAATACCATTCCAGGCAATCCTAATTAACTTGTTAACTTGACAAAATAAAGTTAACCCTAATAAACAGATACTTGTACTCCGGTTGAAGTGAATGAAGGATGACACCAGAAACACATTGTCTCTTACTGGAATCAGAGTCTCTCCAAGTGGGAATTTGGAGTTGGGGTAGTCATTTGGATCTCTAATTTTGACCTGAGGAAATAAAAACTGGGTCTTGTGCTTGGAGAAGCAAAGAAGTTATTTTGTAGAAAGGAGAAAACAAAGAAAAACAGGACAGGTAGAGGAAAAAATACTACCAGTTTTCAGCTTCGGTTTTTTCCCGAGGTGGTAATATTCTTCCCTTTGGGTTCTGTGATTCATCCTAAATCCTTAAATTTTTTCCCCTTTATTTATTAAGCTATTTCAGGCTAATTTATTGGAGAGGTGTTTTAGGTGCTAGGGATGTAGCAAAAAAATAAAGCGAACAAAGTCCCCTTCAAGGAGCTTACATTCTACCAGGAGGCAACCAACAACAAATAAGCAAATACATGCTAGATGGTGTTGAGTCATGAGGCGGCCATATAGGGTAAGGTGGGTGCATATGGGCTGTCAGCAAAGGTCCCTCTGAGGAGATAACATTGAGCAAAAGTCAGCAAGCAATGAAAATATCAGGGGTAAGAGCGGTTCAGGCCAAGGGAAGAGCAGGTGTAAAGACACTGAAACTAGATCCTACTTAGTGTGTTCAAAGGACATCAAGAAGCCTTTGGAGTGGCTGGAGCAGAGTGAGGGGCAGCGTGATGGATCAGGTCAGAGAGGTGTGTAGGGGATTGTGTAGGGCTCTGTAGGTCAGGGTAGACTTAGGTTTTCCTCTGAATTGGAGTGGAAAATCTTGTAGGATTCAAAGGAGAAGAAAGACCGTTGTTTTAATAAAGGATGACTCAGTTGCTATATTTAGGACAGAGGAGGGCAGTAGAAGGGAGCCCAGGTGAGAGATGGTGGTGGCTTAGACCAAGGTAGGCAGAGTGGGGGTATTTGGGTTTGATCAGGCCCTAGATATTTTTCTGAAGGAAGAACTGGCAGGTTGTGCTGATGGGTTACATGTAGGGTGTGAAAGAAGTAAGGATGACTCCCCGGTGTTTGGCTTAAAGGGTTGACAGCACTGACTTTCCATTTACTGAAAACAGGGAAGACCTGGGGGTAGAGTGGGGTTCGGCTTTGAAGTAGGAACTCTGTGGTGCCTATTAGACATCTAAATGGGGATAAATAGGTATTATGGGTGTTGTCTGAAGTGTCGTAGATGATTTCTCACTGGACTGTATTCTAGTCCTGACGGTCTGTAAATTAGACTTGACTCTTCAACTCAGGATTTCTCTTATATCCTTGGATCACATTCTCCGTTGGACCCTTTCAGTGAGTAATTGAGGTCTGTATTTACCAAGTCGGTTGTTGCCGGATCTTGGAATTGCTAGCTCACTTGAATTACGGAAGGATCAAAGAGAAGTTGTGTGTCAGTAGTTTAAAAAGTAGGTTAATGTGTAAATGGAGACCTGAATCTAGCCCGCTGGGTTTTTGTTTTTGTTTTTGACAGTTGCTTCCACTTGCTGATTTCTGAGGCAAATAAGCAGAAGGATGAGTGAGCTGGAGCAGTTGAGGCAGGAAGCTGAACAGCTACGGAATCAGATCCAGGTAAGAGTGGAGTTTCTCGTTCTGGAATTTTGACACTTCTGTTTAGTACCAGCAATGAATAAAATGTGTTCATTATTGGATCAGTTTACAAATACCAAATGTATGAGTCTTGAAGTGGTCATTTTGTTTTTATCATACCTCTAAAGTACTCTCTAAAAATCATTCCTAACAAATGTCTGTGTGGACTTAGGACCTCTGTGTCCCTAAGAAGTTAATACTCTATATGTAATTACTGTGGAGAGACAAACTTAATTCTTATTCACACACCTGGAATTGTAGCTTGGTTTTTGGTGTCCTGTGATGAGGCAGATATTATCACATTGCAATACGCTAGAAAAATCTGAATCTCTGAAATATTAGATTGCAGAAAAACATGAAAAATTATTAGTGGCATAATAAACACATACCTGTCATCTTTTACTCTTGGAAATAACTCAAAACAGTGAAGAACTTAAACAAATACAAGTTCCATCTAACCAGAAAATTAAAAGACCTTTAGAACTTCATGCCAAGAATCAAACAGTAATGCATCAAGATGTGGGAAGACTGAGAGGGACAGTTTTTGCAAAAGTGGCTAGTACTCCTTCAGCAAAAACACCAGTAACCCTCTGGAACAGAGGAAACATGTTTTCCTGGACCAAGAAGATAGAGATAAAAGATGGCATGTCTATTTTCCTTCATGTTTAGGAAGCCTCTTGGTGAGCAGGGTAGAGGAAGGAGACTGGATTGTATCCTTGCTGTGCCTACTTACTGCAGAGAAAGCAAGGTTTGAAACAGTAGGGGATACACAGAAGAACTTCAGAACAAAGCCAGGAGAATCCCTAATGACTCGGAGCACTGCTGCCCGCCCCCCACGGCCTCCTCCCCCTGCCTGTGAACCTTCTTCCACAAGAGATGTTTCAGAACTCATCTGATTTGATGACGGAAGAATCAGAAGAAAGAATCAAGCATAGGATCTATACACGGATATTACAAGAAAAGAGAGGAAAGGAACAGGAAGAACAAAGGATGGCTGAAGGACACTCACCAAAAAAATGTGGATACTGACTGGATTGAAATCCTGACTAACCAAATCTCCTTTCAGGAATTCAAGGACGTGGATAATTAAGATGCAAATAAGAACTCTGGCTTTGATAGGTCAGGTGTCTGACAAAGCTGTCAAAGGAGGGATTTATTTTGCCTGGGATGATGAGGGAAGGCCTCACAGAATACTCTCTGAAGTAGATGTTGCCAGCACCAGAACGGATTCTCTGCCACCTCTGCTTGGTGTCCCTTGCTGCAGAAGCTGGACAGGACTGACAGACTGGCTGAGTGCATGGTCCCATGAGCATGTCATTTAAGAAAATGTTCTCTGTATACACAAGCTTGGATTTTTCTTTCTTTTTTTATTTTGGAATACATATAAATAAGATCATATGGTATTTGTCTCTGACCTTTTTCACTTAATGCTCACAGTGTCCACCCATGTTGTTGGAAATGGCGAGACCTTTTCTTTTTATGGCTGGATAATACTCTTGTGCATGTGTACGTACCACCTAGGTTTTCTAGTTTTATGGTTTCGGGTGTTAAATTCAAGTGTTTAATGCATCTTGAGTTTATTTTTGTGTCTGGAGTAAGATAGTGGTATAGTTTCATTCTTTTGCTTGTGGTTCTCCAGTTCTCCCAACACCATTTATTAAGAGACCATCTTTCCCCTGTTGTCATAAATTAATTGACCATACACACATAGGTGTATTTCTGGGTTCTCTGTTCCATTGATACATGTGTCCATTTTTATGCTACTGTACTGTTTGATAACTGTGACTTTGTAATGTCGTTTGAAATCTGAGAACATGATGCCTCCCATTTTGTTCTTTTATCTCAAAATTTCTTTGGCTACTCAGGATCTTCTGTGGTTTCATACAGAGTTTAGGAAGTAAAATGTGTATTTTTGTAGAAAATACCATTCGACTCTCGATAGGAATTGCCTTGCATCTGTAGCTTGCTTTGGGTGGTATGGATTAACAGTATTCTTTCGATCCATGAGGCATAGAACAGCTTCCCATTGATTTTGTGTCTTCAAGTTTCTTTCATCTTTGTTTTAATAGTTTTCCGTGTACAGGTCTTTCACCTCCTTGATTAAATTTATCCCTAGGTATTTTATTCTTTTTGATGCAGTTGTAAATGGGATTGTTTCTTGATTTCTTTCTGATAGTTTTTAGTGTATAGAAATGATAGATTTTTTTTTTTAGATCTTCTTTTTTTTTTTTTTTTTTTTTTAGATTTTTTTTTTTTATTTGTCAGAGAGAGAGAGAGGGAGAGAGCGCAAGCACAGGCAGACAGAATGGCAGGCAGAGGCAGAGGGAGAAGCAGGCTCCCTGATGAGCAAGGAGCCCGATGTGGGACTCGATCCCAGGACGCCGGGATCATGACCTGAGCCGAAGGCAGCTGCTTAACCAACTGAGCCACCCAGGCGTCCCTTTAGATCTTCTATATATTTTGTATGTCTTGCGGATTTACTGAAATTTTTTTTTTGTAAGATTTTATTTATTTTGACAGAGACACAGCGAGAGAGAGGGAACACAAGCAGGGGGAGTGGGAGAAGCAGGCTTTCCACTAAGCAGGGAGCTTGATGTGGGGCTCAAACCTAGGACCCTGGGATCATGACCTGGACCGAAAGCAGACGCTTAATGACTGAGCCACCCAGGAGTCCCCTGAATTTATTTCTCGTGTGTGTGTGTGGGGGAGGGGGTCTTTAGGGTTTCCTATATATAATACCATGTCATATGCAAATAGTTTTATTTCTTCCTTTCCAGTTTGGATGCCTTTATTCCTTTTTCTTGCCTAATTGCTCTGCTGAGGACTTCCAGTAATATGTTAAATTACAGTGGGGAGAGTGGGTATCCTTGTCTTGTTACTGATGTCAGAGGAAGAGCTTTCAGCTTCTCATTGTTGAGTATGATGTTAGCTGTGGACTTGTCATATAGAACTTTTGTTATGTTGAGGTACAGTTCCTCTACACCCATTTTTTTGAGAGTTTTTCTCATAAACGGATGTTGAATTTTGTCGAATGCCTTTGTGTCTATTGAGATGAGTGTACAGTTTTTATCTTTGATTTTGTTAACGTACTGTATCATTGATTTGTGGATGTTGAGCCATCCTTGCATCCCTGAGATAAGTCTCACTTGATTATGGTGTGATTGTTTCAGTATACTGTTAAATTTGGTTTGCTAATAATTTGTTGAGGATTTTTACATCTGTGTCGATCAGGGGTATTGATCTGTAATTTCTTTGTGGTGTCCTTGCCTGGGGTGATTAGCCAAATACATGGTTGCATGCTAATCTCCTTAATCTTCTTAGCAACCCTTTAATGTAGATGGTTTTGCTTTGTTTTGTAGCTGAGGAAACTGATCCTCAGTAAGATGAAATAATCTGCCAAGGCAAGTGCTAGCTCCAGGATTCAAGCCAGGTATATGTGTGTTTTTGAAGATTTTGTTTATTTACATGAGAGATTGTGCGTGCATGCACAAGCTGTGGGATTGGGGGAGGGAGAAGGAGAAGCAGACCCACTGAGCAAGGAGCCAGATGCCAGGTTGGATCCCAGAACCTTGACCTCATGACCTGAGCCAAAGGCAGACAGACGCTCAGCTGACTACACCACCCAGGTGCCTCTCAGACCAGGTATATTTTGACGCCAGAGCCTGTGTCCTCCTGGCCCTGCAGCCTGTGCTGACATCCTCTCTGCAGCCTGTGTTGTCCTAGGAGTCTGGTGGCTGTTCTCTGATGATGTGCTGCTCTTTCCCCCTTCATCGCCCTTTTTACAAATGGTTTCCTTTGCCTAGGGTTATACTACCTTGGCTCCAGTTTTTCCTCCCATTGACTCCTATCTGTTGAGTCCCGGTCCTCTGAAAAGCCTCACCAGAGTCCTGTCCTTGGATTTAGTCTCCTTTCATTGGAAGGCAGGCCGCATGGTGTGGTGGAAAGTGCATGGGCTTCAGCTCTTCCTAATCCTGTGGCCTTGAACAAGTTTAACTTCTGTGACTCTTGATCTCTTTGCTGTAAGGTGAGAATACCAGTGCCCACTACGTAGGTTTGTGGAGATCACGTGAAATGACGTGCATAGGACTTAACAGTAAATTATAGCACTTTGGGTTTGTGTTACAGGGTTGACCACAGCTGGCCTTGTTTTATAGTTCCCTGTGCACATTTGCCTCTGCTGCTTGTACTCAGATGGAAAGTTCTGTGTCCTAATCATTGTTGATAGCTCACTGGCGTCCCAAACACAATTGCATAGATGCAGGTGCTCACATTCCTCTCCCGCAATTTCAAGTGACCACTTGTATGTACAGTGCCATGTACTGTACCTCTCAGTTTAATCACGTCATGCTGTATTTAAAGGCCCTCCCTTTGTCCCCCTCACTTCTAGAATATATAATCTAACTGTATACTTCACTGTGGTATAAACACATGACATAATAGAAAGGTATGCAATCTTATGCAGTAGGATTTATTTTAAATTTAAAAAATAAAGGAAACATTCTTCTTTTGTAATTGTTATTTGGAGTGAGAAATATATCACTTTTGCACAAAGATGTCTTACATTTTGGTGGACAATATGGACTTCAGCCTTTAATTGGGAATCATTTTTTTTTAAAGATTTTATTTATTTATTTGACAGAGATCAATCACAAGTAGGCAGAGAGGCAGGCAGAGAGAGGAGAAGCAGGCTCTCCACCAAGCAGGGAGCCCGATGCAGGGCTTGATCCCAGGACCCTGAGCTCATGACCTGAGCCGAAGGCAGAGGCTTAACCCACTGAGCCACCCAGGCGCCCCAAATTGGGAATAATTTTATATTCTTTTATAATGGATAAGTGTCCATAAGAGTAAATTCTTCGGCATGTGAATAGAATCTTTGCATGATTTGCAAGTACCTGCTAATTGTATAATGCTTATATTCCAACGTTTTAATTTTATCATTTTGCACTATTCAGTAATTATCACTTACTGTTTAATTGTACTATTAATATTACAAACCTTCCGTGAGGGCTGACATTTCTGTCTTGTCTGCTCCTATAACTGTGGGCCCAGGATAGTACCTGACACAGATTTTTTTTTTTTTATTTGAATGACTGGGTTAAGAAAGGTGACCTAAACAAGGATAGTTCATTTTCACAAAGCTTAAAATCAGAAAAATGTTTCTAGAATTTAGTCCTTAACTCTACCACTTTTGGAACATAGATAGCTCAGGCCATCACCATCATTTCTGGAAATTCTTTTCATTGTAGGAAACTAGACTAAATTATTCTTTGCCAAATGAGGTTTCTTAACCCACAATTTGACTAAGAATGAGAGAATCAAGTCATATATTTGTGTAACTACTTGTGAACATCCTTACATAGAAGTAGTCTAAGTGTTACAAATAGGTTGAAAGGCAGCTAAAAAAGGTCGTGTGTTCCATCTAGTCTTTGCTCAAGCAGAGGCAGGCATTTTTCTTTCGGCTGACTGCGACACACTGCCCATTTGGGGCATTTATTCAGCTACTGTGTGCTTCATCTTTGCACAGAAGTGCGCTGAGTACAGTAGGGAAAATGTGTTGGAGAGGATAGTACCCTGACCTTTGAGACGAAAAAAATTGTTTAGTAGGAAGAATTGTGCTTCTGATTTTCCCATGTTATATGAATCCTCTCAGTTTATTGAGAAACTTGATTTAAAACATCTTGTTGCTTATTAAATGTTACTTGTTATATCAATTTGTTTCACTGTTCTCTTCTTTTTGATAAGTGTCTTCAGTTTGTGTAAAAATTTAAGCTCTCTTTGAAAGGCTGTCCTAGAATGCTTAAACGTAAACAGCTGCTTACCTGGAAGGACCTTGCTGCTTACAGATGTGACTCAGTATGAGCCGTTTCCTACCGCAGAAATTGTTTTCCTAATGTATCCTATCTTTTCCTCATTGGACCTAAAATATTCCTAATTGCATTTACACTGTACACAGATACTAAGCATTTTAAGGAAGTGCTATATATTTATAAAAATATTTCCGAAATGACCTGAGTACGCTACAGATATCCTTCCTATCACCTCAACGTCTAAATGCCAGAACAAACCAAATGGGAACTCTGAACCTTTTTGCTGAAGCTTAGTAACAAATAGAACTCTGAATACTCTGGGCCTATTAAATCAACCTAGTTCATTTTTACTCATGGGGATGCAATTTAAAATCTTTTAATCATAAACCAGAAGTATATTTGTACAGTAGAATTGAGAGTCCCTAAATGAACCCATATATCTAGGGCCGATTGATTTTTTTTCAGTGAGGATAATAACGACCATTTGAGAGGGAAAAAACAATCTTTTCAACAGATGGTGCTGGGACAACTGGATACCCACATGCAAAAGAATGAATTTGGACACCTACCTCATACCATTTATAAAAATTAACTGAAAATGGTACCTAAATATAAACGGTAAAAGTGTTGAAAATTTTAGGTGGCACTGTCAGGTAAGTGTCCAACTCTTGGTTTTGGCTGGAGTCATGCTCTCAGGGTCCTGGGCTTGGGTCAGCTTGAGAGTCTCTCTCTCTCTCACCGCCCCTCCCGCTTCTCCTGTCTCTGTCTCTCAAATAAATAAAATCTTTAGTTACAAAATTTTTACTTTTTTTAAAAACACAAGCTGTTAACCTTTGTGACCTTGGATTCAGCAGCAGTTTAATATGACATGGAAAGCCCAAGCAACAGAAGGAATAGATAAATCAGACTTAAATTAAAAACTTACGTAAGGACACAGTTAAAAAAATGAAAAGACAACCTACAGAATGGGAGAAAGTATTTGCCAATCATATAACTGATAAGAATCTAGTGTCCAGAATATATAAAGAGCTCCTACAACTCAACCATAATGCAGTTTAAAAAGGGGCAAAAGATTTGGACAATTCTCCAAAGATCTACAGATGGTGAGTAAGCTCATGTACAGATCGATATTCCATGCGAAGAAGATGCTCACCGTCACTAATCATTAGGGAAATGCAGATAAGAACTACAGTGAGAACCATGACAGTGTGGGTGAGGATGTGAAGAAATCGGAAAGCTCATACTACATTCCTGGTGGGAATGTAAAATGGTACAGCTGTTGTGAAGAAAACAACTTGACACTTGATTAAAGAGCTAATTGCAGAGTTACACATCACTCACCACTCCTAGGTATATACCCAAGAGAACTGAAAATGTGGATGCACAACTCACAAGGGTGTTCACAGCCTCATTATTCACAAAAGCCAAAAAGTGGAAAGAAATTAAATGTCCATCAGTTAATGGATAAACAGCATGATCCTTTCAAACAGTGGAATATTAGCCATGAGAAGAGATGGAGTACTGACATTTGCTACAACATGGATGGACCCTGAAAACTTACATTAAGTGAAAGAAGCCAGACACAAAATGTCCTATTAAAAGATTGCATGTATAGAAATGTCCAGAATGGGCAAATCCATAGGAAAAAAAAAGTAAACTAGTGATTACCAGGGAATGAGGGGATTAGGGGGTATTGGGATTTTTTTGTACCTTTGTTTCTTCTTCTAACTTTTATTTTTTAATGGTAACTTCTGGAATTAGTGGTGGTGGTTTCACAAAGTTATGAATGTACTGACCACTGAATTTTAAATAAAGACTATGTGGTACAGTGAAAGGTGTATTTGTAAGTCTATGTTTTCAATGAAAATAGTATTTTAAGTCCTATCCAGAGATTTCCATGTTTAAATGTATTATAATCTTCTTTCTTTACTTCAGGATGCTAGGAAAGCATGTAATGATGCAACGCTTATTCAGGTAAAGTTATTTTTCTCTCCATTCATTTTAGTAATTCACATGAAAGAGCTTGATGTGGATGCAAACGATACTCAGATGGTTATTAGTATTTAATAAAAAAAAGTGAGCTCTGTATTTAAAAATATTACAATTTGTTAGATGCTGTACATGTGCTTTTTATTTTTTTAGATTTTTTAAAAAAGATTTTATTTATTTATTTGACAGAGATCACAAGTAGGCAGAGAGTCAGGCAAGGGGCGGGGGGAAGCAGGCTCCCTGCTGAGCAGAGAGCCCTTGTACTGAGCCATCTAGGCACCCTGTACATGCGCTTTTTAAAGCACCCTTGTTTAAATAGAAGACTCTAGGGGGAAAATATGTAGATTCGTATGTATTTTTTTAGGTAACTTCCGATTCATTTTGATATGCGCTGATTATACTTTTTTTTTACATCAGCTCTTAGGAAGGTTTCATTAGTTTATATTGTTAATTCTTATTAAGGAAATATTTTATGTGCTCTACTAGAGCTTGCTTTTTTTTTTTTTTTTTAGAGCTTGCTTTCTTATAAACAGTTAAAAATATCCATGTTTTACTCTTTGATCATCTGCTATTTGATTTTTATCTGTGGCTTTTTTTTCCCCCTAAAGTTGGAAGGTATGTCTATTCTTAAAAGTTAATAGTCTATGATAAATATTCTCACTGGAAGGTGCGCAAATAGGAACATTCAAAGTCCCTTTTTCTTCAACTTACTGATCCTGTAATGGCTCTGGCATTATTTAAAGTACCTTCAGTTGCTCTAAAGTTGTCTTCTGTCTTATGCCTATTATTTCTGCTTTATTGTCTGAGGTATATCTGAGTTGTAAAGAATAATATTCTTGTTGTTTTCTAAAGATCACATCAAATATGGATTCTGTGGGCCGAATACAAATGCGAACGAGACGTACGTTGAGGGGTCACCTAGCTAAGATCTATGCTATGCACTGGGGATATGATTCAAGGTTTGTACCTGCATTTTTTTTTTTTTTAAGAGATGCGGAGGGACAGCGGTAGGAGAAAGGTGGGGAGAGGAGAGAGAAAGAGAATCTCAAGCAGACTCTGCACTGAACATGGAGCTCAAGGCAGGGATCAGTTCTGGGATCATTACATGAGCCAAAGGTCTAACTGCTTAACCAACTGAGTCACCCAGGTGCCCACGCCAGCTGATTTTTAAAGAATGTATTTCAGGGTGCATGGGTGGCTCAGGGAGTTTAGTGTCCAACTCTTGATCTCAGCTCAGATCTTGATTTCAGGATTGTGAGCTCAAGAAAATTGTTGCCGCTGCTACATAAATTCCTGCTAATGTCATTTACCTATAGGGAAGGGATCCAAATGGCTTGGTGACAGGGAGGGGAAGGTGACTTTTTTTTCCCCCACTGGATAGCTTTTTTAAAGATTTTATTTATTTATTTGACAGACAGAGATCACAAGTAGACAGAGAGGCAGGCAGAGAGAGGAAGGGAAGCAGGATCCCTGCTGAGCAGAGAGCCCGATGCTAGATCCCAGGACTCTGGGATCTTGACTGAGCCGAAGGCAGAGGCTTTAACCACTGAGCCACCCAGGTGCCCCCGGATAGCTTTTTTATATCTTTTGAATTTTATATCCTAGTGAAAATGTCCAAAGCAAAATAAAAAATTAGTTAACTAATAGTTGTTAAGAATTCATATTTAACCAGCAAACAAAGCTTTCTGCTGTTCAAGCCCAGCCCACTTTTCTCAGCTGTTACACCCATTTCTCACACACTCTGTGCAAGTGGAAAATTCACAGTTCCTGAAACACGTGCTGTATTTTTCTCCTTGTCAATGAACATACCCTCCTCACAGAATATGGACTTCTACCTTTAGCTTACAGGATTCCATTTTTCAGTATGCGTTGTTTTTGGCAAGACTCAACAAGACTCAACAACAGCATTGATTTTATACCACCCCTCTGACAATTTGCACTTACTTAACTTACTATAAACTTGTTGTAAATACCTTCTCTCTGCCAGATGGTAGAGGCCTCAAAGGCAGGAGGCATATCCAGCATCATATCCAGAAAGGCTGCCTTGCCTTCACTGGCTCCCAGTTCAGATTTTTAGGTGGAGTGAAATACGGTTTTAGGGTTATATGTACTCTGTTGTCATTAAGCCTAAGTCAGTAAATAATGAACCAGTCAGCTATTAGCTATCAGAATCTTGAATAAGAACTAGAATGTTGTTACCATAAAAAGTTGAATCATTTTTTTTAAAAAGTTGAATTATAACCAGAAACATTTTTAGCAAAAATGTTTATATTTAGTAAAATGTTTAAATTTTGCTAAATTCTGTGTCCTACTGAAAACTTTTGGCATGCAGAAAAAAATTTATTTTTTTAAGTTGGGAAGATAATTTTCTGGTATCCAGTTTTTAATTAGAAAAGTATTTTTTTCTTAACTATTCTCTAGTAATGCAGTGGATGACTAATTTAAGCTACTTTTTTCCTCTAAGTGTCAAATTATTTTTGTGTTTTTTCCTCTAGGCTACTAGTCAGTGCTTCCCAAGATGGAAAATTAATTATTTGGGATAGCTATACAACAAATAAGGTAGGATATCTTAGTCATTCTCTTTAATCTTTTATTTGGGTCTGGTGTCTACCAGTGCTTTCCTTTATTCAGTTATTTCAAACTTAAATTTCCCTCAAAGATAAAATTACTCCATTTATTTTACTCTAGATCCTCTGTTTGGGCCTAGTATTTGCTTTTAATAATTAAGCCCTTTTATGTTCCCAAGGACAGTGGTAGGACTATCATTCAGTGTATTTTACTTGAGTCTCCTACTTTGTATTTTAGTATTAGAAAAGGGTGTGCATTAGTTTTACACATGGATGGTTTATTTTTTTAAAGTTTTATTTATTTAAGTACACTCTGCATTCAGCGTGGGGCTCAGACTCACAACCTTGAGATCAGGAGTCCAAAGCTCTTATGAATGAGTTAGCTAGGTGCCACTATAAATGATTTTTTTTTAATTACGCATTTCCTAATGGGCAACGACCCTGAGGTTTTTATTTCTAGTTGTGGGTAAGCCACGTTGCTACTGTGAGGGTTTTCTTGGATCCGCTGGCTTGCTCAGGAGATGCAGAAGCTTGGAAGCAAATTACGACTTTTTCCCATCTTGGCAAAACCCAATGGTCCTCCTAATGTGTCCACTGGAAGGAATCCTTGATGTCAAAGGGTTGAGTGGCAGTGGAAAAGCTTCCACTCAAGAAACTTACACATATGAAATACCTTTTATATTCTGTGTATTTCTATCACTATTTTTATTAAAGATTTAAAAGTACTTTTTTTTTTAAAAAGATTTTATTTATTTATTTGACAGAGATCACAAGTAGGCAGAGAGGCAGGCAGAGAGAGAGAGGAGGAAGCAGGCTCCCTGCTAAGCAGAGAGCCTGATGTGGGGCTCGATCCCAGGACCCTGGGATCATGACCTGAGCCGAAGGCAGAGGCTTTAACCCACTGAGCCACCCAGGCACCCCTAAAAGTACTGTTTTGTGAAGTAAACGATAACTTCAGCCTGATTGAGATTTTAAAGCTAGCTAAGACAGATTTATGAGTTTTTCTATATATTAGTTGGCCCATCCAGCCTGTCTTTCAGCCATATTTTCCTAGAACAAGAATAGTTTTTAAAATATTTTAGGTTTAAGCAAGAGCATAATAGGATTCAACCAGTGTGTTCATTCTCTGGATCATTTAGCCTTGCTGTTCCCATATACCTTAAATTTTGTCACCTACTTGCAAATGATTGCTATTGGGTAATAAAGCACAGCAAACTATTGCCATTTTTAAAATTTGGGTGCAGAGTGTATATCCAGCTATTAGAAGGACACAGTGCCATCTCTCTCAAAGATTTATTTATTTGAGTGAAAGAGAGAGCACAGACTAGGGGGAGAGGCAGGAAGGAGAGGGAGAAGCAGACTTCCCACTGAGCAGAGCTCATAGCAGGCTCCATCCCTGGACCCCAGGGTCATGACCTGAGCCGAAGGCAAACGCTTAACCAACTGAGCCACCCAGGTGCCCCCACAGTGCCATCTCTTTATTGGAGAACCATTTTATTTTTTAATTTTTTATGGAAGAACCATTTTAATTGGCTCTGATACTTGCATTGTTTAGTGTCATATTGGAGGAAATTCCTCTTTTGACTACTGTTGCCAGAACAAAGAATTTTAGTAAGTTCTTTAACATTTGCATTTAATGTTTTGAATGGATGTATTTATTAGCATTGAAACATTCTACATCCTTCTCTTAAAATAATTCTTGAAAAAGAACACTTAAATCCAAATGAATTGTTGATATATGCTAATGTGCCTATTAGTTTTTCTGTATTATTAGTATTTTATTTTTCATTGTTCATTTAAACCATTGCATTTTTAATTTGGCTTATTTTTAGTTAGATGCATTTAATTTTTAGTTATATTTGCTTCATTGTAAATCGGTTTGAAAAATGGACTGTTTTTGTAATCTTAGTAATAGTTTCTGTGTTATATTTGTTGTACAGATGCATGCTATTCCTTTGAGATCTTCCTGGGTGATGACCTGTGCCTATGCTCCGTCCGGTAATTACGTCGCGTGTGGAGGGCTGGACAACATCTGCTCTATATATAACTTAAAAACCAGAGAGGGAAATGTGAGAGTGAGCCGGGAGTTACCGGGTCACACAGGTGAGCTGCACTAGATACTGTCCTTTCCTACCAAATAGGAGGACTCCTGAGTGAGCCAGTGAGCTAGAATGTGTGGCAAATCGTGCTCAGCTGCTGAAGGTTGAGTGTTTATCAAGTGAGAGTAAAAATGACTATGAATCAGCAAAGCACCAAGTTTAAAGGTCTACAAGTGATGACTGTAACCTTATTTTTCTTTCAAAAATAACACTATTTTATGAAAATGACAGATCGATTGCAAAAGATTCAAACAATAAACCCCACAAATACAGGGGTGCTTGGGTGGTCAGTCATTTTAAGCGTCTGACTCATGATTTTGGCTCAGGTCATGATCTGAGTTCAAGCCCCGTGTTGGGCTCCATGCTTAGCACGGAGCCCATTTTAAAAAAAACAAAAAACATAATTCTCTGTTTTCTCTGCCACCATATAACAGTTATGGGATTTTGGCATCTAAGTTACGTAACTGAAAGTGTGTATTAGATACATAGTGAAAAATACGTCATAAACGTGAGAGTACATTGCTTGGTTTGCCAGGGTGCACACCAGAGGGTGTATTTGGTTTTCAGTGTTAATAAGGAATTTATTGCCGTTCATCAGGCTTCTGCCTCTCTGAATTCTTGGTAGTACTATTTGATGATGCTTTTCATAAAAATCTCTAATATCCTTTTCCTGCCATATCCATTTCCATATTCGGAAACACTGGTAAATTCTGAGCATTCAGGTGACCGTGTTCCATGAAACTGTCACTGAGGTTGTAATTTCTCACAGTGTTAGTAGAGGATTTCCCAGTGCACCAAACCCAGTCTGCCATAGATGATAGAGATTTGTGTAAAGGAATCTCTCTCTTCAGTAATCATAGTAGGCAGAAGGGAACTGTGTCCCAAGTTTGTCATTTCTGGAGTGTCTAACAGGATATGCCATCGACATAGTAATTACCTGAGAATTTCCTGATAAAATTGAATTGAGTTGCAGAGAGCATAGAACTGGAAGTAAAACTATAGGTTATGCCAACAAATATATGTTGCCTATGTATTGGGTTTTAAAAAATGTGTATTAGTAGTTCACGTGCTAATTGGGTTATTCCGTTTAGTTAACCTAAAAGTTGTTGCTGTCCATGCTACAGGCTACTTGTCCTGCTGCCGATTTCTAGATGACAGCCAAATCGTTACAAGTTCAGGAGACACAACTTGGTAAGTGTGGTCCACGCGAACACTGATTTGGGGATTGAGGGTGGTAGTTGGAACTAACATAAGGAAAGATCTGATAGCTGTTATTTTAATTTACGATTAATTACAGTGCTTTATGGGACATCGAAACTGCCCAACAGACCACCACTTTCACTGGGCATTCTGGAGATGTGATGAGTCTTTCCCTGAGTCCTGACATGAGGACTTTTGTTTCTGGTGCTTGTGATGCTTCTTCCAAATTGTGGGATATTCGAGATGGAATGTGCAGACAGTCTTTTACTGGACACGTGTCAGATATCAATGCTGTCAGTGTAAGTAAATAGCATCTCTAAGGAAACTGTATTGTGGATATAAACTGTTGAAATCTATAACATGGTTATAACAACAAAACCCCCAAGCAGATAACTACAGATAGATTAAGCCAGATAAGTATTCCATGTATATGAGCATGAACTAATCATATGTGGTTATTACTGTCCTGTGTAGGTCAAATGCTAAACTGTTAAAAATGACTAGAATTTCCAAAAGTACTATGAATGCAAACGCTTTTGTGTATAAGACACTCCTCATTTTGGAAGAAGATGTATTTGGGGAAAAAATTGTTTCCTGTTTATGCACATATAACAAAGAAACAAAGCCATTTTTGGGGGGCGCCTGGGTGGCTCAGTGAGTTAAAGCCTCTGCCTTCGGCTCAGGTCATGATCCTAGGGTCCTGGGATTGAGCCCCACATCGGGCTCTCTGCTCACTGGGGAGCCTACTTCCCTTCCTCTCTCTCTGCCTGCCTACTTGTGATCTCTGTCAAATAAATAAATAAATAAAATCTTTTAAAAAAATGAAAGCCATTTTTTATAATTTTGTTGAACATCTAAGAAAGTAAAAATGGTAGAAGATCACTTAAAAGTAGATTGCTACAAACTGTAGATGTTATACCACAAATTTTCTCGGCAACCACAAAACAACAGCAAAAACCAAAAACCAACAATAATGTTGCTAAAAAACCAAGACACGATATTTAAAAATTCAGAAATTTTTTAAAAACAAAAAATGTAGAAAAAGAACAAAGAATAGGACAAAAGGCAAAGAGCAAGATGGTGAATTTAAACCTAATACTGTCAATACAATAATCATATAAAATGTAAATGGTCTAAACAATACAGACAGAAACAGGACTCCTTTTTTTTTTTTTTTTTTTTTTTTTTTTTTTTGAAGATTTGATTGAGTGAGTGAGCAAGCACAAGTAGGGGAGGGGAAGGGGAAGGCGGGAGAGAAGCAGACTCACTGCTGAGGAGCGAGCCCAATGCAGGACTCGATCCCAGGACCCACCCCTTATTATTTGGCCAGCCTGGTTAGAAGAGAATTTTAGAGCAGGTATACCTAATCTTCTCCATCTCTATCTTCTGTCACCTCTCTCGGGTTGATGGTATTCTGTTTTCCTAATTTGCGTAGATTTTCTCAGGGATGAATGGAGTTTATTAAATGCTTTCTCTTCATCTGTTGAGAAGATCATGTGGTTTTTGTTTTTAGTCTGTTAGTGAATTCACATTGATTTTTCTTCCCCCTAATATTAACCCAACCCTTTATTTCTGGGACAAATCATAGTTGGTGATCATACATAATTGTTTTTATATATTACCTTTGATTTATAAAAGTTTTTATGAAGTTTTATAGCCATATTCATAAAAGTTCTATTTTTTCCTTTCTTCAAATTTTTTTTCTAGTTTGGTATCAGACTAATGCTGGCCTTGTAGGCAGACTTGGGGACCATTCCCTCCACTTTAGCTGTCCGGGACAGTTTGTGTAGAATTGGTCTGTCTTCTTCCTTAAATGGTTTATTTTTTTTTTGTTATGTTTTTGTTTTGTTCTTTGTTTTTGTTTCTTTTTTTAAAAGATTTTATTTATTTAATAAATGGAGAGAGAGAGTACAGAAGCAGGGGGAGCCACAGGCTCCCTGTTCCCCCAGCAAGGACCCTGGGATCATGACCTGAGCCGAAGGCATACGGACACTCAACTGACTGAGCCACACAGGCATCCCAGATGTTTGGTTTAATTTCTCTGTGAAAGCTCTCTGGGAGAGTTTTCTTTGTGAGAAGAGATTTAATGATGAATTTAATGTCTTACTTAGATACAGACCTGTTGAGGTTATCCATTTATCCATCAAGTCCTAACCCCCACTACCTCAGGGTGTGTGACCTTATTTGAAAATAGGGTTGTTGCAGATGTGATTAGCTGAGGCATACCAGATTGGAGGTCTTTTAATCCAAGATGACCAGTGTTCTTAGAAAAAGGGGAAGGCTCCAGAGCAACAGGCAGAGAAGGTTAACAGTGTGAAGAGTCCCAGGGAAAAGACTGCCAGCCACAGCACTTAGATACCTTGACTTTAGGCTTGCAGCCTTTAAAACTGCGAGACGTTAAATTTCTGCTGTGTAGAGGCACCTGGGTGGCTCAGCGGGTTAAGCCTCTGCCTTCGGCTCAGGTCATGATCTCAGGGTCCTGGGATCGAGCCCCACATCGGGCTCTCTGCTCAGCGGGGAGCCTGCTTCTCCCTCTTTCTCTCTCTGCCTACCTCTCTGCCTTCTTGTGATCTCTGTCTCTCTGTCAGATAGATAAATAAAATCTTAAAAAAAAAAAATTTCTGCTGTGTAAACTACACTGCTGTGAGACCTTAAATTTCTGCTGTGTAAGCTACGCTGTTTGTGGTGCTTTGTTACACAGTAGTCCTAGCAAATGAATACATTTGTAGAGGTTTATCTGTTTTCTTTATCTTCTCAAAGAACAATCTTTTGGTTTGAGTGATTTGCTCAATTTTTGTTTTATTTAATCGATTTTTCACTGGATTATTTATTTCTAGGCTGTGTAGTTGGGTGTCATTTTCTTTTCCTAGGCGTGTAAGGTAGAAGTTGAAACCATTGATTGGAAACTTTTTATTTTTAAAGATTTTATTTATTTGTCAGAGAGGAAGAGAGAGAGAGAGAGCACACAAGCAGGCAGAGAGGCAGGCAGAGGCGGAGAGAGAAGCAGGCTCCCTGCTGAACAAGAAGCCCGATGCGGAACTTGACTCGGGATCATGACCTGAGCTGAAGGCAGCAGCTTAACCCAATGAGCCACCCAGGCATCCCGGAAACTTTTTATTTGTAAATATTGAAGCTTAAAGTGGTAAATTTCTAAACATTGCTTTTGGTGTACCCCACAGATTTGGATGTTGCTGTGTTTTCATTTTCATTTAGTTAAACATTTTTTATAATTTTGATCTCTTTGACTCATGAGGTTTTTAGAAGTTTTCAAATGTGTGGAGATGTTCTAGATATTTTTATTTTTGTTTTTAATTGTATTATGGTCCATGAATACACTTTGTATGATTTATAGGATTCTAAACTTGACATTTGTTTTATGGTCCAGAAAACGGTCTGACCTAGTCATTATTTTGCACTTGGAAAGAATCTCTGTTCTGCTGTTACTGGATGGAGAGTTCCACAGATAACAATTATCTCAAGTTGCCTAATAGAATTATTCAGGTCTTCTGTATCCTTACTGATAACTCAGTTCTTTCTGTTATTGAGAGAAAACTTTTGAAATCTCTATTTGTGTATTTGTTCATTTTTCCTTGTGATAGTTTTTGATTCAGTGAGTATTTGAAAGCATAAACCTTTAGGATTATTGTGGTCTCTTGGTTGGTTAGTTTATCATTATGAAACGTCCCTCTTTATCCCTGGTAATATTATTTGCTCTGAAATTTACTCTGAAATTTTTGTGTGATGTTAATAGAACTACCCCGGCTTTCTTTTGACTAGTCTTAGCATAGGCATATCTTCTTCCTTGCTTTTGCTTGCTGTTTATATTTTTATATCCAAAGTGATTTTCTTATAGGGCAGTAGTTGGGTCTAAAGAGTCCTATTTCGGGGTGCCTGGGTGGCTTGGTTAGTTAAGCATTGGCCTTTGGCTCAGGTCATGATCCCAGGGTCCTGGGATCAAGTCCTGCATCGGGCTTGCTGCTCAGCAGTGAGTCTGCTTCTCTCCCGCTGCCCCTTCCCCTCCCCTACTTGTGCTTGCTTGCTCACTTGCTCAAATCTTCAAAAAAAAAACCAAACCCCCCCCCAAAAAAAAACCAGAGTCCTGTTTAGCTGTCTTTATTGTTTAGACCATTTACATTTTATATGGTTATTGTATTGACATGATTAGGTTTAAATTCACCATCTTGCTCTTTGCCTTTTGTCCTGTCTATTCTTTGTTCTTTTTCTACCATTATTGAATTTTTAAATATCGTGTCTTGGTTTTTTAGCAACATTTTTGTTGGTTTTTGGTTTTTGCTGCTGTTGTTTTGTGGTTGCCGAGAAAATTTGTGGTATACCTCTACAGTTTGTAGCAATCTACTTTTAAGTGACTTTCTACCACTTTTTCATATAGATAAAAACCTTTTACCTGGATTCTCCCACTTCTCCCCCACCCTCCACAGCCTTTGTGCAGTTGTTCTACATTTTCCTTTCATAAGTCTTAAACCCTACAATACACTGATATTATTATTGCTTTCAAGTGCTGATGCTCCTTTAGGGAGATTTAAAAAATAAAGTCTTTACGTTTATTAACATAGTTACCATTTTCTGTGCTCCTCATCCTTTTGTTTATAGATTCAGATTTTCACCTGTTTTTCTTCTTGGGCTTTCTTTATTTTTTTTTATTTTTTTTTTAATATATATTTTATTTATTTGAGAGAGAGGCAGTGAGAGAGAGCATGAGCGAGGAGAAGGTCAGAGGGAGAAGCAGACTCCCCGTGGAGCTGGGAGCCCGTTGCGGGACTCGATCCCGGGACTCCGGGATCATGACCTGAGCCGAAAGCAGTTGTCCAACCAACTGAGCCACCCAGGCGTCCCTGAAGGGCTTTCTTTATTGTATCTTACAATGCAAATCTGTTAATGTCCTTCAGGTTTTGTATATTCAAAACATTTTTTATTTTGCCCTCATTTTTGAAAGACACTTTCACTGTGTTTTTTTTTTTTTCTTGATATTCTGAAGATGTTATTCCACTGTCTTCTGGTTTATGTTGGTACTGATGTGAGATGTGCTGTCATGCTTATATTTGGTCTCTACACAGTGTGTCCTTTGTTTTCCTCTGCCTACTTTTAATATTTTCTGATTTTTTTCCTTATTCCTTTTTTTTTTTTTTTTTGAAAGCCCCCCCTTTCCCTAAAGATTTTATCCATTTATTTCAGAGAGAAACCAGGTTGAGCTCAGGCATGGGAAAGGGACAGAGGGAGAGGGGGAGAGAGAATCTCAAGCACACTTGGTGCTGGGCATGGAGCCTGATGCAGGGCTTGA